TGGGAAAATTTCATTATTCAAAGAAGTCAAGAGAAAGCAGTTGTAAGTTTGGGTAAATCTGATGCCAATTGAATGATAGCTTGACTCTTTTTGAAGTAATGATACTAACATTTGTATTTATGTAGGAACCTTCGATAGAAAAATACAAAAAATGCATTGCAAAAGGAGTACACCCATCGTATGGGGGCTAAGACATTTGGTGAATGGAGGGAACGTGGATCGAAATGGGTGTATACCCCAAATTGCTTCTAGTGCCATCGAAAGAACCCTCTAATTCCACGGTCACTACTTTGGTGAGTCGTGCAGGTGATTTCATTTTTTCTCTCCATACGTTTGATAAGGAAACCGGAAAATGGGTCATCAAGGGTCTATAAACCAAAATTATGGCAGATAAACTTGTAAGTTACCTATGAACTGTTGAATTTTAAGAACCTTTTGCAAAATTATCACTATACAAAACATTAACTATATTATTGACATCCTTTTTCCTTTTGCTATAGCTTGAGTACACCGAAGAACCTGTAGAGGGAAAATTGGTCCCAAGTGTGGAGAAAGACCCTTTCACCTTGGCTTTAGGAAATCCCTACCATCCAGGACGAGTAGTAGGTTCGGGAGGGTCATTGCTAGGATGAGAAAAGGTGATGGGTCCAGAATACACAAAATCGGGTCGATCTCGAGCATGTGTTAATTCACCGGATAACTTGGATTCCAAGTTGGCATCAATTAAGGAACAAGTACGCAATGAGATAGTAGGTGAATTCAATGCTTGGGCGAAGCAAATGAACTTACCAAGCTTGTCGTTCCCCACGACTACACTGGTCGACTCATGTAGTCACCTACAAGGACAAGGAGAAGGTGATAGACATGGAGGAGATGAGATATATACATGGAGATGATGTGCTACATGAGGTAGTTTCAAATCTATTACAAGTTTTAAAATATTGAGTTACGTGAGATCTGAGGTGGCATTATTGATGAACTATTGCAGGTTGCTACTCCTACACATGCAGACTCGAGGGAGATTGATAATCCAACACCGCATGAATATCAAGATTTATAGGGGATTTGTTTGGTTCTAGCGTAATGAATTTCATTATATTATCAATAGTGTAGGAAAAGACCTCTTTTGATAACTTCTTTTTTTACTAGTGTAGGAAGACACCCGGTGTGCACTTCTAGGCCCGGGACTATCAAATAGCGGAGAATTGCATTTGGTGGCGTATGGTAGTGCACAAGAGACGACCGATGATATGGTGAGGTCACATCATTACTCGGTTGGGATCAATTTAGTGATTGCGGGGTTCGAAGACATCCCACTACCGGTGCCCATAGAGGACGTTGAGATAACAAAGCTTTGGCAAGCTCTAGGTAGCTTTGTGGCTTGGCCACGTGCGTGGGTAATGTTGATCAAAGAGGTAATTTATTTATTTTTATTTTTTTGTTTTAAATAACTGTTAGGCACTCTCTAGCTGCACCACTTAAAAAAAACCTAAAATAGCACTCACTCACGACTCCTCGGGCCCCATCTCCAATGCCGAGGCTGCGGCGGCCTCGGCAACTCCTGCCTTGGCTGCAGAGGCGTTGGCATCTACACTTTTTTATTTTTTGGGAAATTCTCAATGGTGCTCTTAAGGTTTCTTTTTTTTCTGAATGGTAAACACTAAAAAAACAAATTATCAATGGTAATCTATAATTTGTAAAACTATTTCAGTGGTAACATTTATGATATAAATCCATAATTATTAGCTTAACCCTAGTTAACTAAAGGAATAATTTCTAATATAACCCTATTAATTAAATAAAGAATTAAAAAAAAAACAAGCCACCCCAACCCCAACCCACTGCCAGCCCCCTCCCTTGCCAGCGGTGGCCGGCCACGCTCTCCCTCCCTTACCCAGGCGCCGGCGACCATCTCCTTTCCCAATTCCCTCATATCACCTTCCCCGATTCCCTCTCCTTCCCCCGATTCTCTCTCATCGGATTTCCCCGGTGACCCTCTCCTTCCCAAAATCTCTCTCTTCGAAAACCCGTCACATTTTTACTATGGAAACTCACCCAGACAAAACTACCCACCAACAAAACTCAAAGAGAGAGAAAACCCTAAAAAAACCTTCAATCCCCTTCAATGGCGGTTTTCAATGATTTAACACTGAAATTTGGTCGTCGCAGTCAAGATACGCCTATAAAATCCACCCGATTTGTTGAATAGAAAATTCGTAGCCCAATTCAATCTTCGTCAAAACCTAGGGCTCTTTACAATTATCTAACACTGTGTTGTTAATGGTGAAAATGATGATGATGTTTGATGATGGTGGGTATTTAGTATTTAATTGATGATAAAATGATGATGATGGTGCATGGTGGGTGCCGCGAAAAATGACGTTGTCCTCGGAGTCGTGGGTGTATTTAGTGCTTGGTCGGGGATGGGAGAAGAAGTGAATGGTTTTTTTTTTTTTTTTACATAAAGAAAATAGGGGTACTTTAGACATTTTTCTTTTCCCCCTTCTAAAACATTAACCATAGTTAATATTTCCCTTAAAATGCTTAACTAATGTTCCCCACTGAATTAGTTTTACAAATTACAGATTACCATTGATAATTTGTTTTTTTGTGTTTACCATTGAGAAAAAAAAAACCTTAAGAGCACCATTGAGAATTTCCCATCACATTTCTATTAACTCACTCAGTCGTTGAAGTTTCAGATTTTGCATAGAAGCCAAACTTCAAAGAAAATGAGGGTGGAGAAGCCTAAAAGAATTTATCAACCTAACAAGCTAAGAAGATGAGTGAACAACGATCCAAGAGTGAAAAAGCGTCGAAGTTGAACTCTTCGAGAGGTTCACCCATGCAACCTACTTTACTGGTTGAAGACATTGTACTTCAATCACTCTCTGTTATTTGACCTTTCTTCACAATCGTGCTGGTCAATTGGTCGATCCCATTGAAGTTGCACTTCCTAAGGCAATGTTCCACTATGATGAGAATATAGTTGCATGGATTAACAAAGAAGATTTGAAGGAATTTCTATGTGGTGCAATGCTTAACATTTCCCTCATTCAAACATTCATGAGGTAATTCAATGCCACTTAATCTATGTTATTCAAATTAATGGTGATTATCCTTCAATTGATTAATTATTCAATGTTCATGCACGCAGAGCACTATAGGAGCACTTAACTGACACCGATTCTCCTTGTAAAGTTGGGTGGTTATGCCTTGAGAACATATCCACTCCTAGAATCTTAGGCAACTACCGTGACGTGTTGTATTATGTTGGACCTCTCGGGGAATCACTGAGTGCGGGAGACAAGTCCATATTCGCCCCATGTTATAAAGAGTATGTCTAACCATGTCAAATTCAATCGTTTGGCCTGTTGACTCCTAAATATTGATTTGTTTGTATATTGTGAACTTATGTAGGGAGCATTGGACCCTCATGGTGATTTGTAATTCCAATAACATAATCTATCACCTTGATTTAGCTCGATCATCGGAGAAGTGGCTCGTGAAGGCTATATTGGAAAAGTAAATATATATAGCTACCTAGTGATGATTAATGCTAACTAATTTAGTAGTAAGACGACTAATCAAATTTGAATGTACTTTACTACAGTGTTATGAAGAGGCTACATTGTCGTGCTCCTCAGGGTTCAACATGGAACTCACTGATGGTAATTTAAACGATATTGTGATTATCTTAAAAAACATTGTTAAATATTTGCTAATTAGCTATTCATGTTTCAATCATGTGATTTGTTCGTCATATGCTAGTACGCTCAACAAGAAAATGGACTTGATTGTGGCTTGTATGTTATGATATTCATGCTTGACATAGTGACTCATTGTACAGACAGTCAACAGCTTGATGAAGTAAGTCCTAAAACTTAATGAAATGCTCTTTTGATATGATTTCAATCCTTAAACACCTAAAACTAGATAATATTAACATGTTATGAGAAATAAGTAGTTCATTTGATAAGAAATGTAGAAAATGGGCGAAATAGAAGTCATATAGGCTATATTTGGGCCACTTTTTGTTAATATGCTCTTTTGATGTGATTTCAAACCTTAGACACCTAAAACTAGATAATATTGACATGTTATAAGAAAGAAATAGATCATTTAATAAAAAAATGTAGAAAATGGGCTAAATAGAAGTCATGCATGTAGGCCATATTGAGGCCATTTTTGGTAAAATGCTTTTTTTATTCAATTTTAAGCCTTAGACACTTAAAACTAGGTAAAATTGACATTATATGAGAAACAAATAGTTCATTTGATAAGAAAGGTAGAAAACGGGCTAAATAGAAGTAATATAGGCTATATTTGGGCCATTGTTAAAATGCTCTTTTAATGAAATTTCAAAACTTAAAAACCTTAAACTATATAATATTGACATGTTATGAGAAAGAAATAGATCATTTAATAAAAAATGTAGAAAATGGGCTAAATAGAAGTCATGCATGTAGGCCATATTGGGGCCATTTTTGGTAAAATGCTCTTTTGATTCAATTTTAAGCCTTAGACACCTAAAACTAGGTAACGTTAACATGTTATGAGAAATAAATAGTTCATTTGATAAGAAAGGTAGAAAATGGGCTAAATAGAAGTCATATAGGCCATATTTGGGTCATTTTGTAAAAATACGTCTTAAAACTTAGTAAAATGCTATTTTGATGTGATTTCAAGCCTTAGACACCTAAGACCAGATAATATTGAAATGTTATGTGAAAGAATTAGAAAATATATAATGTTTAACACAATTTTTATGTAATTCAAGTTTTTCAAGGCACAAAAGGATGGTCCATTGACAAGCAAGGAACTTAATGAAGTTCGAGACATATTGGCGTCTTTTTTTTATTTTTGAAAAAGGTAAAAAATTATATTAATAGCTCAACACCAAACAACATTACAGACCCTAAGGCCAACAAAACAAGAGAAAAAAGCAGGAACACCACACCCCATACACCCAGCAAACAGGCAAAGCACACCAACTACAATCAATACAAGGCATTGAACCACTCAATTTTCTTTCTGCTTGTTTTAGCAGGCATTACTTGAGTAATTCTATGATAAATGTCTCTACATAAGTTCTGAATCAGCTTCTCAGTCTTCATAATGCTCTTATCCCAGACTGCCTTATTCCTTTGACACCAGATGCAATACAAGAGCCCTGCATAGCAACTCTGAAACACTTGTCTCTGAAACCTGCCCTTAATATCCAACAGCTTCTGATAGCAATCTTCCAAAGAAGAGAAGCTAATATTCTGACCAATTCTTGACTGGAGCTCAATGCAGCACTTTCTAGTATATTGACAGTTGAAAAAAAGATGCTCAACAGTTTCAGCACTGTTTTCACATAAAGGGCATTTATCATCAGTGATTACCCCAATCTTAGCAAGGTGAGCTCTAACTCTGATTTTCTTCCACATAATCATCCAGCAGATGAAACGATGTCTGGGAATATTCAACCTATTCCAGACCCAACTACTCCAATCCACATCTGCATATTGAAGCTTCAACCATTTATAACCACTAGCAATAGAGTAGCCTTTAGCATCAACTACCCATCTATCACCACTATACCCAGTCTTCATGATATCCTTTATTTTCCAAACATGCTTCCAATTCCAGCTAGCATTCTAAGGGCACTGGAATCGCTTCCAAGTTTTGCCCTTCAAATAAATCCCATTAACCCATCTAAGCCAGAGACTATCCTATTTCTGAGCTATATTCCAGATATTCTTACCAATAGCAACAACATTCCAAGCATGACAATCATGTATTCCTAAACCCCCTTGCTTCTTGCTTCTACAAACTATATCCCAAGCAATAGGAGGAGCTCTGTAATAAACAGGCTTCCCATCCCAAAGGTAATTCCTGCAAATAGCAACAACTCCATCCAAAAGAGTTTTTGGAATAACAAAAATAGTAGCCCAGTAGATGTGTAAAGAGAGCAAGACAGAATTAACAAGCTGGGCTCTCCCAGCATAAGAGAGAGTTCTGCACCCCCAACTTCTAATTCTATTAGTGATTTTGTCAATCAAAGATTGACAATCATCCTTAGAAAGATTTTTATTACTAACATTTACCGCAAGGTACTTGAAAGGCAACTTTCCTTCCTTGAAGCCAGAACTCTGAATAATATTCTCCTTGACTGTATAATCAGTGTTGCAAAAATAAATATTAGACTTCCCATCATTAGCAACTAAGCCAGAAGAAGCTGCAAAAGTAGCAAGAGCTCTAAGAATAAGCCCAACTGAAGCATCTTCTCCTTTACTGAAGATGACTAAATCATCAGCAAACACCAAATGGTTCAGAGCTAAACCTTTACACCTAGGGTGAAACTGAAACTGAGGCTGCTCTCCCACAATCTTAAGAAGCCTAGAGAGATACTCCATACAGATCACAAAAAGAAGAGGAGACATAGGATCTCCCTGTCTCAAACCTCTCTTACCCTTGAAAAAACCACACAAACTGCCATTAATACTTAGGGTGAAAGAGGGAGTTCTAACACAAACCATAATCAAGCTAATCAGCTTTTTAGGGAAGTTTAAAGCCCCCAGCATCTCTTCTAAAAAATCCCAATTCACTGAATCATAAGCCTTCCTAATGTCAACCTTCAAAAGACAAGCACTAGGAGAGCTCTTTCTTCCATATCTAGCCACCAGATCCTGAATAATACTGATATTCTGAATAATCTGTCTACCTTCTACAAACCCAGTTTGATTCTGAGACACAATATCAGGAAGAACTAACTTCAACCTACTACAAATCATCTTAGTGATACACTTATAGATGACATTGCAAAGGCAATGGGTCTAAAATCAATGACAGAATTAGGAGAATCAACTTTAGGGATCAAAGTAAGGATAGTAACATTTACCTCCTTCAACAGCTTCCCATTCTCAAAGAATTGCAAGATAACATCAATAATCTGGTCACCAATAACGCCCCAAGATTTCTTGAAAAAAGTACTATTGTACCCATCAAGACCAGGAGACTTATTGCCAGGAATAGAGAACATAGCCCTCTTGACATCAGTTCTAGTGAAAGGAGCTTCCAACATCTGAGCTTGAGACTCATTCAGAATATAACCACTCCTAACCACATCAGAATGCACACTTAGTCTATCCCCAAAATCAGAACCAAGCAGCATCTTATAATAGGAAAGAAAAGCTTCAGAGATCTTATCAGAAGAATCACACCAAGAATTATCCATATCCTTCACTACAATCACTCTTTTCCTGTATTTCTTCAATTTAATACAGTTATGAAAATACTTAGTATTTTCATCTCCAACTTTGAGCCAGTTAATCTTTGCCTTCTGAGATAGCATAGAGAAATAGCAATCCCTAATCTGAGAGAAATCATCTAACTTCTGCCTCTCAACCTCTCTTAACTCCATATTCTGAATATCAGCTTGAACAACCAGTTGAGCTATTTCCAGATTCTGCTTACTCTTAGCAAACTGAACTTCAATATCAGAGAACTCATTCTTATGCAAGTTCTTTAACTTCTTCTTCAAATTCTTTAATTTACTCACAACTTTGAACATCTCAGCCCCTGTGACATCATCATTCCAGGCAGCTCTCACAATTTCAGGATAAGCAGCATGAGAAGTCCACATATCAAGAAATTTAAAAGACCTCTTGCCAGTAGCTGCCTGGTTATCTAAGTAAATCGAACCAGGACAGTGATCAAAGAACATCTCAGGAAGATAATGAACATAAGCTTCAGAACAAGTCACAAACCAATCATCATTACCCATCACTCTATCAATTCTTGAGTAAACTCTATTATCCCCTTCCTGCTTATTATTCCAAGTGTAAGTACACCCCACATGCCTAATGTCCTTCAAACCACAAGCACTGACACAATCTCTAAAATCATCAAATTCAGTGTGAGTAACAAGTTTACCAATTCTAAGATGATTATGAATCATAGGAATATTGGCGTCTTTTATCACCTTTAACATGTAAATGTCACTTTTATTGTGATTTTATGTTTTGTTAACTTTTTAACTATGTTATTATTATTCATTAATTACTTAGTATTGTTTGTATATATATATATATATATATATATATATATATATATATATATATATATGTACATATATATATATATAACACTTTTTGTTTATTGTATTGTATTGCATTTGGGAATATTTATATCTATATATGTATTGTTGTTTTTATTACAATTTTGAAATTATTCTTATTTTAATTATTAATAATAATATTATTATTGGTAATTATAATAATAATTATAATTATAACTATTTTTGTTAATATTAATTATAAAGGCAGGAAAACAGGTTATTATTGTTGGAATTACAGTTTTTTTTTTAAATATTATTGTAGGAAAACAGGAAAAAAATACATAAAATGGCACCGGTTAATAACTGCAAAAACCAAAAAAAACCCAGGAAGATTTTTTTGCACCGGTTAACCTGTGGCAAAATAATTAATGCCACCGGTTAATTGGTGCCAAAAGCTCTTTTTCCCTCCGATTTTGAACCGGTGGCATATGTTGGAGGAATTGGCATCCCTTACATATTCAGCGGTTCAAAACCGATGGGTTAGGGGGGGTTTTGAACCGATGCCTTTTTGCTTTTTTCTACTAGTGCAAATATCTTATTAGTAAAGATACTCTAAGATCAGGGCCGGTGATGAGGCTGTGCAAACAACCCCACCGCACAGAGCCCCTGATTCCGATGGCCCCAAACAGGTTTATATATTATGTGTGAATTGCTCTAGGTAAAATGCAATATATTTGTTATAGCCCGGTGGTAATAGCATCACATTTTTTTTAAGAAAGACATGGTTCAAATCCCCGCAGTATTAAATGTTTTGGAACATCTCCCAATATTTTTTTCGTACATGAATTACTTTAACATCTCTCATCTAAAAATTAAAATAACTTCTTCCTCCATATGTTTCTATGGGTATACAAATCTATAATTATCTTTGTATAAAATTCAATGGTGTTTTGTCACATAGTCCATATTATACATACAATATTTTTATTTTATTTGTCACAATTTGGTAATAATTTATCTTTATTATACTTCCTCCGTATCGGTTTACCTCTAACAATGAATATTTTACCTCTCAAATATATTTTCAATTGTCGCACATAAACCGATACGGAGGGAGTATAAGGGAAGGGGGATCACTCACTTTTTTTAAATATTTTTTTCAACATATTAATTATACCTTAATCTAAAAAAATTACCGTGTACATAGCGTGAATATAAGATTAGAATAAAATATCGTAGTGCGTAATTTATAAATCTAGCACAAGGCCTCTAGACTGTTTAGGACGGCCTTGTCCAAGATAATATCTTGGACTTGTTTTATATTGTTTCTCAATCAATATTATTTACGTATATTTAACATATATTTAGTCCATATTAATTGACTTTAGATTGCTTAATTCAAAGAGAGTATTTGCTCTTATTTTGTATAATATTACATCTGTTTAATATATGTGCAACTTTAGGGTATTATTTGTGAGATATAAAATATTCCAAAGTTGCACCTAACATTTAACGGAGGTAGTATATTTTTTCTATCCTTATTAACAAAGCTATTGTATATGCTCTAAACTTGTAATATAAATGGATGCAATTCTTTAAGAATAATACAATCAATCTTAAACCTTTCATGGTATTAGATGAGGTTGTTCTTTCAACCTATTTTATTTTTTCCTCCCCACATTATTCCTATATGGCTGCCAACACCATTCCTGAATCATTTATTTTTTTGGAAACCATGATGTTGAAACTAATTGTGCTTTCTTGCTATCAACCTCACTAATATTATCAAACTCAATTCAACCAATTATTTATCCTGTAAATACATATGTAAATTGTGAATTAATTATAATGACTTTACTAATCTTCTACTAATCTGTTAGTATATTATTAGGGGTTAATTTGTAACACGTTAAACTTTTCCACTATTTATAATATTAACTTTGATAGTGAAATTTTGAAAAAAAACCACCTTTTAATTTTTTTTTTGCATATAATCACCTCTTAAAAAAATGTTGCAAAAGACCACCAATTTTAAAATTTTTGTTGCAAAATACCACTTTTTAAGACAAATTAATCAATTATTTTACATTGAAATGGTGGTAATTTGCAACAAAAATATTAAAATTGGTGGTCTTTTGCAACATATTTTTTTAAAAAGGTGGTTATATGCAAAAAATAATATTTAAAAGGTGGTTTTTTTTTTTTTGCAAAATTTCCTTTTTTTTTAATAAAAGTAATAAATACGTACTAGTATTTTATCATGAGATAAGTTGTTAAATAAATATGGGAAATTCTGTAGGAGTTTATACGAATTGCGGAAACATGAATCACATTTATATAGCACCTAATACTAAGATCATGCATAACACATAAAGAATTAGAATTAATACCTTTGTAGTCTGATTCCACGTATGATCGAGCAAAAACAATAAGGAGAATAAGAACACCACGTGCGACTCCTCTACTAAGTCCGCGAGCACGGATCAAACCTCCACTAATGCTAGTTAGTTATGATTGAACACTTAAATCAATCTTTTACGGAGATGTGAGTCA